TTGTATCAACTCCAACATATTTGATTTTGAGTCTAAAAGACTTTGTGTTCAAATTATTCTTTCATTTCAAATATCGTGCAATGAGATCTTTTATCAGGCTTTTCTGCAATGTTTAGAAGCTTGCACCAGATGTCCAGCAAAGGTTGGTAGCGGTTACCTACTGCAAGCTAGCAGATGTTACCATTTTTTATGGTTTATAACTGCTGTAAGGACTGTATTTTGGGAAGTGAAGAAGTTATGTAGTCTGTTAAAACTGTGGAAGAATTATATGGAAATTATGACCTGATAGCACTGAAACAGCCTAGCAGTTGTGGAGCCTTAAAAATCCACCTGTCCTTGTATTTGATGCGAAACACATTTGAAAGTAACCCTGAAATCCTGTAAAACAAAACCAGGCAAAACAAACAAAACACTGTCACCTTGCCCAAAAATAAAAGGCAAAATACCTGATATCATGGCATTCGTGAAGTGAGACCTCTATTCTGTCACAGATGTCACAGGACTAGAATAAAATGAGTATGAAGAATAGGAGCAACGGCAAAAGGTTAAAATGAGTGGCTGTGTATGGATCCTAGGCTGTACTGTATCTGTACGACTATCCTGCACTCCTTGGAAGCCTCCTCCCTTCCGAACAGCCACGTGGAAACGGCAGAGCCTTCTGCTCCCCTCCAAAACACACAGGCCCAAACCCGCTACCCCAGCAGCGTCAAAGCAAAGCACGAAGAGCGCAGCCTGCTCCAAGCCCTCCTCCGCCTGCTGACGAGGACGGCGGCACACAGGCCGGGTGCAGGAGGCCGGCGAGCTGCCACGTGCTGCTGTGCAGGGCTCCCCTGGCATCCGTGAGGCTCAAGGCACGAAGCGGGGCCCGGCTCCAGCAGCTGCCAGACCCGTCACTCCAGCAGGGCTGGCAGCACGGGCAGCAAGGGCAGAAGAACGTGCAGAGCGCTCATACTGGCCAAGCCTCCGAATTTCAGCAGATTCCAGCTTCAGGCAGCTCTCGCTTTACTCATAGTTATTTTCCATGCTTTTTTTTCTCTGCAGAGTCTACTCTGAGACAATTACAGCTCTCAGTTTTCATCTGTTAAAGAGTTCTTCTTTTGTTGAAAGACCTAAATGCACATTTGCCAACTCCAATATCAAGAAAAGATGCATAAACACAGTGAAAACACAAAAGGAAAAAGAGAGGTGATAGAAGATTTCTGGGATGCTAGCTCTTCTTGCAGGTATTGTTTTTAGGGCGTTATTTCTGAAAATTTCTTTTCTGCCCTGTAATTTCTACTGCTCCTGCTGGTAATGTTCGTAAGAAATATAAGCAGCTCTAATGGGTATGGATCACTCTACTCCAGGACAGTAAAAAATGAAAAAGGACCATAGAGGAATGATGGCCCTGCAAGACAGATCAATGCAGCTGCAGGTTGGTTCTTTTCCTACTCAGGTTGTTGGCCTTAATGACTTCATGGCTCACACTTTCTGCTGAAGGCTATCCATTTCTGTTCAAGTTCATGACAGCTCTTTCACAGACACTCTTTCAATTTTAACACTATTACCAAGAATACTTTTCTCCCCCTTTTTTTTTTTCTTTTTYAAATGAGAATGAGATGGTGTCTCTTTAATCAGGATCAGATCAATTTAGCTAAAATAAAATTATTTTCTATAATTTGCCTATAGTTATTCACAGGATTAGTGAGAAAATGTCACTGAGCAGATACTTGTCTGCTCATTAACATTCATGGCAAAACCTTCCGGTAGGTTTGGTTTCGACTGCTGATGGAGCAATACTTAAAAGAAATTGGCTTGTCTGTGAAACAGCTGCTCAGCAAAGGCACCATGCAAGGGAATTGGTGATAATAAGATGATACTATTACAACTGCACTGAGAGCGCAGTATATTTTGAGCTGCTTTGAGGTATGCAGCGGGGGTCCAAGGATTTGAATGTGATTGCTTGTCTAGTGCTCAGCACAGGAAACAGMTGATCATTACATGTCTGCTTATGTGGATTAGTCCAGCCCTAAAGAGTGAAGTTGAACAATTCAGGCCTGGTGGAACACTGTGCTCCACGTGACTTTCCTGCCTATTGAAAGCCTGTTAAAAGCCTTTTGGCATTTTTTTTCCCCTTTAGTTTTGGGAAGTGCCATTGCTGACCCAGGTGCTCTATCCTTTGCTGGAGAAAAAAAAAAAAAATCAATGATTTCATGGGATTTCATGGGGATTTCATGGGATTTTTGTCATTTTGAGGCTTTCTTCTTTAGGCAAGATTCCCAGGAGAGGATTCACTGGATCCTCCTACACCCCTAAATGCAATTCCAAGCCTCACATTTTTGCATATGACCGTGCAATGTAACAGCGAGGATGCAGGTGTCGGCAATACAGATGTACTCAGCACAAGGCTCACTCAAGAAACATTTGGCAGCTGGTATTATGCTGCATAGTGACTCATGCTAATTCACACTTCCCAGCTAGAATATAGACCCCAAATGAGAAACGCTMTTGTTAGAGAGTTGGCTCTGAGTGATGGCTGAACCCCGCATACTATGTTAATATAACAATTATATACGCTAATAAAACAATTAAAAAAATGAACCTAGAAGAATGGAGCTATTACAATTCCCATCACTGTGACAATTTCTTCGAAATGTGGAGGACATACATAGAATATTGTATGGGGCTTTAATAGGCAAGAACTGATTGCCGGTTAAAACAAAGACTTCTCCCCCCCGCCGATTGTAGCTGTTTCCAAAGCACTTAATAGTTTTAACAGTTCTTTGCTAAGAATCTCATATTTAGCTTTTCTGGCTTATAGATATTACAAAAATTAGTCATTACAGTAATTTGGAAGGAACTGCAGTTCTGGTAAAAATGAAACATAAAAAATGGATATAGAAATGATGTAGAAATGTGTATAGAGAGTATGTTTGACCTGAGGCTAAAGAGACAATCTTTCAATTAGAGCAGATTGAGTTCCCTTGTAAAAGATTAGATCACGAATGGGATCTGAGGCAAAATCCTAAAAGGGAAAACAGTCTTCAAATTAGCTCTCAGAAAAGCAATCAGAAAATCATTCAATCTAAGCTTAAGCATATGGATCTGGGACAGAAAGAACATGATGATAGAAAATCCAAAATACTACACGGCAAGATAACATGGGTGAGACATATGAAGGTCAGATCATAATTTAACAGTGTCACATGATATCAAAATCAGCATTACTCTAAGGTAGGCTGGGTACACCAAAAAAAAAAAAAAAAGAAAAAGAAAATACTGCAGAAACTCCCATATTATTTTGTATTTTGCAGAAGTTTGCAAAGTTAAACAAATATTTGCATGTACAAAAGGCTAGGAGAAACACTAGGGCGAATTAATTCCTCACAATAGCAATGATAATATATACTCTCTCTTGACATTACTTAAATATTCACATATTCTGTCATTTCTTAGATAGACTGCTCTTAATAAGCACAGGTCTTGTATAAAAACTTTCATAAAATGATTACAACCGGCTGTATTTGTTTCAATCTCTGTATTTGTTTCATACTGGCAACAAAAGGCTCATGTATCAGAGCTTCCTTGGACAATCAAAGTACAGATTTAAAATAGAAAATATGATTTCAAGAATTATAACATAGATAACTTTTTCTAACAAGTAAATGTAGAATGATATTAAAATATTGAGGCATAAAGTTGAGTAGTTCAACCATTGAGTAGGTGATGATACTGAGACTTTTTGAATTGCAAATTCCCTTTAAAAAAAAATAATGATAAGTCAGAAGAAACCACCTAGTCTTTTCATCTGACTTCCTGAAGAGCAGATCCATGAGAATCTCAGAATGTAATGTTTAAAACAGGTCAATAATTTTGAGTTTTGCCCTACCATCAATAAAGATATACAGCMTTGATTTACAGAATTTCAGATTTCCAAAAAAAAGCCATCACACACTCAAGTTCACTGCAATACCGAGTCATCTCGTTGCCCAATAATTCAAAAGGCAGGCTCCGAACTCTGTGGAAAATCAGGCTAGCATTTTCAATAAACTGTCCTGCTCACCGAACTCGGGAGATTTTCTTGATTGCCTTTTAAAAAAGGGAAAAGCCCTGCAGTTGCTTTTGAGGGTTTCCAATATCCACGTTTACGTAGACACAGAAATGCCCAGAGGGAAGTGTTCAGCACAAGCACAGATTTCACATGCTGCCAAAGCCATCACCAAACATTCTGTAGCTCTTCTAATCTGTTTGCTAATCGGCAATTTATGAGAGGAACCTCATAAACTGTGACTTGTAAAGATGGACACAGCCATAAAAATTGCTTAATGCTTATTATTAAAGCAAAGGCTTTAGCAAATCAGGGCAAGGGATACTTGATTCCTCTCCCAGGTCTTACAGGGGCTGAGGGCCAGTAGAGATGAGAGTAATGATAGATGAATAAAAACCAAAGCCTGCCTTTATTGACTTTTCCTACATAGAAAAGATTTGTATTTAATACTGCCTGCGTGGTTTGCATTAAAATTCCTCCCAAATGCAACAGAAGCCTGACTATAACCAAGACCCTCTGAGAGACTCTGGACATTGCAAGTAATCATGACAGGAAAAAAAAAAATGGAGCCTTAAGGCTACCAGCTACAGACTACAAAAAAATAACTCTGCAATAACAAAAATCATGGGAGACTCATAGTTCATCTTGCAACAGTAAACATAATTGCAAACCTAAATTTTGCATTTGAAATTAGGATACTAAAATTATAAGCTTCTCTATGTATATCTAATCTCTTTTCTCAACATTAGCCAAGCCTGCAGGCATTTAACAGTCCAATTCTTGATGCTATTGTAATTAAAGGCAATACTCGCAAGGCTGATAAGGGTAACAGCTGTAAGTTAACCCTTATCTTAGCCAAACTGACAAGTGCACATGTGATATCAAATTGTAGAGAAAAAGAGATTGGTATTCGTCTTGGATAGCTGACTTAAATCCCATAACCTTGAAAACAAGTAAATTACATCCAGCCTACCGTCAAACTTCTTGTGCCGGGATACAAAAGTGGTGCGTACAAAGTGACTTGTCTCCTCCACTAAGTTTTCAAACTCCAGTTTGCTCTGCTGGCTTAACTTGTCCTCCATCTCCGAGGTGCAACATGTATATTCCTGAGGGCAGATTCTCAAATGTTCCCCTGGAATCACAAGAGAAAACACATTAGAAATATTCATATTTAAATGACCGTACACCAGAATTTTCCATGAACTTCATATTCCTACGCAATATCTCTGCAGTTAAGAAAGGTGTCACAGGGCACAAGGAGCTCTGCAAGGCTTGACCGCTTCACTGGGAACATTTTGAATCTGTATTGATGACTTTGCCACAGCTGCGCATGCCTCACATAGGTGGGGAGATACGTTTTGCAGAGACCTTTTGATACTTTAGAAGGCAAAATTATTTCAGACTTACGATGATTCTTACGCTGAGGCCCTGTCTCTTCTAAACAGGGGGAAACCTAAAAATTCTACGGCAATTGCTKGTTTTCTGTTTGTAGTCAAAATGCCTTGAAAGCTACCTAGTGACATGAACAGCTACAAGCCACCAGAGATTTCTTGCTGTCAAAGCCTAAAAACCAGAAATTATATGTCCCTACTCTGTTGGTTGGGTTGCAGTGTGATTATTTCCTTCTCTCTCAGTGCTTGTCCCAATGCACCCAAACACCCTCCCCTTCCACCTCTTTTTCTCTTCTGTTTGAGTAAGTGAATTTTAATGACTGTGCTTGGGTGCTGCGTGTTTTTTTCACGACATTTCTTGTCAGACCCACCAAGTGCTCCACTGAATGGGAGAAAGCAATGAAGAGTTTAATTAATGCTTATGTTTTACGGAAATACAATGTAAAAGGTAATGAAAGTCTGTTATTTAATTCAATAGATTTATCTCTTGAAGCACTGTGCCAGTTCTTCTGACAATATTGCTTTCTTTAGTACAATTTGCAAGTGGAAACCAATTCTTTAGCTCATGAAATTAAAATGGTCTGTTATTACATGAAATGTGAATTTCCAGTTGACACTGTACTATGGGTGTCAGAAACATTTAGCTCAGTTTGTACAAAGGCAGAATATTCTACCATTCCCTCTTGAGAAATAAAAAGAATGATCTGCCTATATGATTAAAGTTACTTGTAAGGCAATGAAAACATTTAGTTTTCTGTACACCAAACCCTGATTAAAAATCTCTCTGCAAATCTCTTAAAGGTGCAAATAAAATGATATACAAAGCCCAAGGGTTAAATAAATACTGGGGACCTGATTCTCATTTATATCAAGGCYCCTTTGTACCACAGTTGAGCTATAAAGAAGATTTAAATGCAGTTTATACCAACTTTAAGGCTACTTTTCACCATTCTTATTATGTACTGAGGAGAATCAGGCCCTGAGGTTTATACTTCCCAGGAGTGTCATACATTTAGCTGCTGCATCATCTTGAAAACAGCATCAAAAAGAGGTTTGCACATGCTTAGAATAAACACTGTCTTGCACACGAGTCTGCCCTGACCGTATTCCAGTTTTTATATTAGTTCTGAATGAAGTTTTTTGATTTGAAGTTTAGTCACTCCCTGGGCCTGACCCATCAACCCAGACTTAATTTGTTTTTTCTGCAAGAGTTCACCTGTAAAGCCAGGAGATTTCTCCAGCAGTCCCCAAACTTTTAAGAAACTTACAGCTATATATCTTGAAGAAGGATCATTTCATTACTATCCGTTATTGTTTTGCAGTAGTACCTACAATTCCTAGCCACATATCTAATGCAACCACTGTTGCATTAGACACTATGTGAACATAGAAAAGGAGATACCATATTACCATTGAAATAGTGTAGTCTTATCCATCTGTTAAACTCTCTAACACCATCACCTTAATCCCTCCCCATTCTAAAAATTGGGCATCTAAGCCAGAAACAATGCTTGCAAGGACCCATCAGTCACTGCTATCAAATATAAATGATAACAGCAAAATGATGCTTGCTTCCCTGTATGGGAGGAGGCAGCTGGGCATTTCTCTTCTCTGCCTGCTCATGAATCTTACAGGAACTGAGTATTTAAGGGAGCTCTACATCGCTGTCTTGTTGAGCTGAAGCTATTCAACAGGTTGCATGCAATTAAGGAAGGGGATAACACATTAAGCTTCAATAAGCCTTTGCGCAGGAACAGTCATGTCCTGAGTTATCATAAGGAGCCAGAAACACAAGGGAAACTGAAACAGCACCATTACAAGCACTTGTGTAATCTTGATTAAATAAAACATATATACCCTCTCCATCCATCAATAACCATGTCCAAGATAAACTCAGCAGGTTTTGCTCAATGGAAAGCACTGGGGAGACATGCTCTCCCATTCCCAAGCAGTTGTAGTTTATGTTTTGTATAACAATAACTCCCCTTAGTGCAGCAGTCATGAATTTTTATAAAATTCAGTTCTATATCCTCTGTTCATTTAACATTATTTTTCCTCCTTTTCTATTTGACTTTATTTGCTTTTCACAACTACCAGACTATCAACTGAACTAATACTAATCATCAAGGCTTCGTGAATAACGGCCACAGGTGTAGATTTTTAAGATATGTTATTCTGAGTATTACAACCCATTAAATAATATTGAATTCAGTACTGCAGTCATTTGTGTAGCATTATTACCTCTCATTTATTTATAGTCTTACTTTCTCTATACTACAATACCCACATCCCAATTTATTTTAAAATGCACCTTAGTAACTATGACCTCATTCAGATTTCTACTGTACTTATTTCATATATCTACATATATCTTTTCACTAAATTTCCTCTTTTTTAATTCACTGGATCTTTATACATTCATTGCGCTCTTAACTGCTGAAATGTGAAACTCATTATTATCAGAAACACTCACAACTTCTACACCATTTCATTCTTTTCCTCCCCTAACAATGTACCTTTCTATATCATCTGAAATAGCTATCTATCTTCAACACAAACTCCTCTCTAAACTATAATTAACTTTTTAAAGCAACATTCCTAGCTCTCCTCTTGGGACTCCTTGCATTTTGGTAGAAAAGAAATAACAAAAATACTGTGTTACTCTTCATGTTCTGCCTCAGGATCATCTTTTCCCTCCTCCTGTTTCCTGCATTGCAGGTTCAGGTCAGAGTATAAATCAAGCAAAAGGATCTTCCTCTGCTCTGTGGCAGTGGAGGAGTTGGGGGCTGATCAGCCTTAAGAGGTTCAGGTACAGGCAGTAAAGACGAGGACCTCAGCAGCTGTGGTGCATGAGCACATTTGTACTGACCATGAGTGGCTGCAGCTCTGTAGTGGGCCAGATTTCCCAGAAATAGCAAGTGGAAATGTGCTCATACCAACAGTCCTTTTTGCATGCCTGATCCTTTTTTAAATCAGTGATTACCATTTTGTTGTTGTTGTTGTTTATTTGTGTTAATATTTATTAACCTCCCAGTTTATATTATTTCATCCAGATCATTCATTCCCTGGAAAACAAAAGGGGCTATTATTTTCTGTTAAAAAAAAAAAAAAAAAAAAATTTGTTTTGTTTTGGATTTTCCGCTTGTTCCATTCAAATTAGTCGTACCACGAGTTGCTTGGATTGGAAATAACTCTGCAGACTCCACTTGATATTGCCTCCTCTATTTCCTTGAACAGGGTCATTTACCATTTGARCTCAGTAATATATTGTTCTATTACCCCAAAAGGAGTTTAATCACTGATTTGTGTATATACACACCTCAGGTATTTTGCAGGCTGAGAAAGCGCTCACAGCTGAGGTACCAAGTCTTGCCTTGGGAAACTCCATATGCTCTACCTTCTCCTGCTAAGTTTAGCGACAATTTTATGGCACAAGCAGCTGTAAAAGCAGCATTCCACAAGCAGCATCAGATTTAACTGACTGGTTTCTCCATGTTGCTAATGGTGTCTCCGCAGACAGGCCCAACCAACAAGCCAGGAGAATCACGATGGAGCTCAGCAGTTCCCCACAGCTCCTCCAGCAACCCCTTCCACCTGGAGATGCTGCCCCTCATGCATCTCCTTTTGCAGACCRGGTTGTACAAATCAAATCAATTGCCTCCTACAAATCCAGCTGCCCAGTACTCCATTTCACTCTTATTACAGCTGCAATCTCACACCTGCCTTCCCATGTTCCAAATTGGCAACTTGTGCAACTGAGTTTGGTAATTGCACTGGCATGTTCCTTTGAGGTGCAATAAAACAATTTATAAAGCACTTATTTTATATTCATATACACAGTAGTTTGTTGTCTCCACAAAGTGCTATGGAAACTCCCTAGAGATTTTTTTTTTTAAATTGCAGTTTCCACTCTCAGTCCGAATAAATACTTCTGCTGTGTATCARAACACCACAATTGATTTGAGCACCGTAACTATTTCCAGACGATAGAATTTGAAGGGGTAATAAACTCTGTGGAATATAACACTACCCTTAACAGTTTCACCACCAAATTTAATGAACACCTAATGCAAGCTTGAGTTGATATTACAACTGGAAACACGTTCACAGAAAATTTTAGAAACAGTTCTTTATGAGGTTGTCAACTATTTACTGTTCCTAACCAATTCATAAATAAATAAAAAAAAAAAAGAAACAGAAAAAAAAAAGAGAGAAAACAACATTTACCCATATTGTTCTGCCTATAAAATCATAGAATCATAGAATCTTTATTGTGGGAAAAGACTTTCAAGATGATCAAGTCCAAACATAAATCCATCACCATCATGCCTGCTAAACCATGTCCCTAAGTGCCTCATCTACACATTTTTTCAACATTGACAGGGATGGTGACCCCACCACTTCCCTGGGCAGCCTGTTCCAGAATGTTAGGATTAATTGTGTGACTGRTGATAATGGGAAAGTGGGATCATCACACTGCTTCATAAAGACAAAATGAACAAATGTCAATAAATATAAAGGATAAATGTAATGTATGCTTTCAAACTTGGTTTCCCTGTAAGCACTGGCAAAATTTAAAGCAAGAAAGGATAGCTTCACCTCCTTCATCCTGTGAATTAAGTTAGTGTGATTGTGATTTGTGGCTTTCTCAAATAACCACATCCTTTAAAAATACAAATACCTGTCTTTATGGATCTGCTTTGAAG